GGAAAAGGTTATATTGAATGATGCTTCTTCGTATGCTCACGTTTAGTTACATAAGAGTTATTTTGGATATTTCATAAACATTTCGACAAATTTCTCATGATGAGGACATTGGATACTATTTTCATAGAATTCTTCTGGGTTCATTTTTGTACAACTTGATGATATTTTTCAATTATTTATGTCTTTCTATATTTTCTACAATAGCGTTATCTTAAGTGCATAATATGGAGGGAATATTTTATTTATTTCTGACCTTAGCACAATTGATAACATATTTGATGTATGATAGACATAAAAATGTTTCACTGAGGGTTTGTGCAAGAACTAAATATTCATGAATATGATCTCTACAAAACATTCTATTACTTCAATCTAACAATCTTGTAAACTATTGATCTCAATATGTGAAAAGAAAACTTCACTGGTTACATTAAACTGAGAGCACGCAAAATTGTTTTATATGTCGTTTTGACACTGATTGTGGATTTTTTAAATAGGCATCGAAAATCATGATTCATATTCAAAAGCAGGTATATTTTAACTTAATGTAGTAAGAAAATGATATGATACATCAGCATAAATTATTTGGCCAAAAGATAGTGTGTAATCTTATGTTGACATTTGATTGTAAACTACATTTTGCAGATTTGCAAAACTTCATTATGTGTTTAATAAATTTCATAAATAACAAAAAAGGTTTCTACAAATTCTGGTCTTAAATCATGTTGTTATGATATAAGCATATCTTAATTCTCAGATTGAGATGAAAAGATATTCAAGCTCATATATTGTGTCTCATGATATAGAAATTTTGAAGTAATGTATCACATCACATAACATATCAAATTTGAACTACATTAAATTTTACATAAAGTCAATGATATTTTATGTGAATACTATCAAAATACATTTGAAATTTTAAGAAATAAAAGTTACATTAACATTATAACTACAAAATTAATATTTTCTAATTCTATCAATGTTATCACAAGCACAAGACAAATATAAAGATTCAGTAAAAGTGTTTATAAAATAACTATGATCATAAAAAGGAATTAAGGTGATACATGAATGAATGAAAAAATTTGATATCAAATTTAACATCCATTTGTGATTGACATGTTTTTTCAAAAGATGATAAATTGATCAAACTCAAATTATTTTAATTTCATTTTGATTAAGAATAAACTAAAATAAAATTTGAAAGTAAATTGAATACATATAGATCATTATTTCTAAGGTTATATATTAAAAGATTCAGTTTCAATATTTTTTTATTCCTTATTTTATGAAGAAAATATAAAAACTTTTATCTTTTCAGATTTATCTTTTCTTGCATAAATGAAAGAGAAAATCAATTCAATCAAGTTATCAATGTCATTCTTATATTTCAAGATGACTATTATACCAATTTCAAGATTTCTTTACTTTTGAAAATTGAAATATTTTTGTATAATTCAAAAGAATTTTTTAGTAGAAAATTCTTTCTGAGCATGTCCAAATGAGGGTTTTTTATTTGATGTTTAAATTTGAAGATAGCTCATATTTTACCTAAAATATGAACTGCATATTCAAATGTTAATGAAATGCTAATATAAAAAAATTTAAATGGAAAAATAAACATCAAAGAAATCATGAAAATTAACTTGATATATTTTATACAAGTTGTATTCAAAGATTGAATTTCGAGTTTGTTTTAGTACAGGAGATTTTAATGACATATTGGATATGTACAAATTTAGAAAGAAATCTTTCTAGACATTAGAATTATTTTAAATTAATTCTATGTGTAATTTGAATAATATTTTAGTAATCGCATACAAGATATTACCGTATTTTCATGCTTTAATTTTTTTGGTCTATACCAAACTGGTTTGTGAAACAGAGAGGAGTAGACAAATTTAATTTCGTTTTACACAAGGATGATGAAGGTTCTTGTTCAGTAAAAGACTAATGGATTGTAAGAGAGAAGCAAAGTGCTTGGGACAATTTAATTGGAAATGGGTGCAATATGAGGATGACAAATATGCTCATGAGCTTTATGAGTGTTATATGTAATTCCAAATGAAAAAAATTATGAAGCTCCAATGAATTGACCTTTGTACCTCATGTAACCTTACATGCTTGTTGAATTTTATGGTATCATTCCTAACAACGGATCATCCGTTGTTAGGAATGGTGTCTTGAGTAGCTTAAATAGGTACCACATTAGTAACGATAGAGTAGTCACATTTACCAAAAAATAATTGTATTTAAAATTGAGCATGACCTACAAGTTTCCTTGGTTCTCTTGACTCTCGACCTTGAGCGTTGGTCTTTTAAGTTGCAGCCCAGAAGCAACTTGTATTTGAATAATTTTGTTCTCCAGAGAATACCAACTTTACATATCGTTCACTTGCATAACTGAGAAATATTATTCACATCCAAGTGGAACGTTTCGAAAGAAGCTAGTCCACGTCAAGATGACGAATGGCTTCCAAGGACATAAATATCAGAAGCTTTCAGTGTACAGAAAATTGATCAAGTAAGAATATACATACATATAGTAATTTTGAAAATAATATTTCTGAGTTATTTATTATCACTACCAAACCCACGATACTATATCATATGAATGATCTTCATTTCGAAGATTTCTTTATTAAAGTGCAATAGATAATAACGTAAAACCTTCAAGCTCCCAGTCATTCTTGCACATGTGGACTAATCAGTGTTTAGAGTAGTGTCCGCAAAAGCAGCAAAGTATAGGGATAATTATAGATCAATGCATTGGTTTGAATTGGGGATAAGTTGATAATTACCCACAATGACAGCGATAAGTTTTCATCAGATTTTGGAATGTGGTTGTGTGTCGAGATGAAGATGGTATGGGCAGGGGATGCACTCATCGTAATGAACAGTTTGATTCGCCCACCAGTTGGATGGAGTATAATAACCATTCGGGGTAAAACTAATTTTAGGCTACGGTCCTTGTTTAGTGGCAGGCTGCCTTATTCGATTTTGAGGTCCCATTACAGATGTTCTCATTAAGCAAGCAAACAATGTACAAAGAGACGACTGATTCGGCGTAAAGGTCACTCCATCTAAATTGAATGGTATGCTCGAGGAATGTTTCCGAATCCTTAACGTTGGCAAGTTTCCACAAGCACTGATTAGAAGCAACACTCAGATTTGGGCACAGAGAATAGAGCAGCGTCTAGTCTCTACATATGGTCGAATACCGTATATCTTGTGATGGATGGGCGATGCCGTCCCTGAAGACATGTACCAATGTTCAAGGTTCATGAACAGATGTTCGTGACATTGCATCCTGTACGATCGATCGCCTAGCGTCTCCACTGGTCCAGCTGGGCTGGTCGTTTCATTTTTACTATCTTTTTGTCAGTGAGCATCTTCTAAGTACACGTTCTATGGCCGCCTCCTCCTCTGTGGACCCTTCTGGAAGTAACAGTTTAGCTGGAATTTGATGTGCTTTTCTCCATGTCTTAGTATATTCATTAAGTCTTTGACTGCTACGCGATAATTCCTGCTATCTGTGCCAACGTTGACATGTATATTTCTAAATGCGAAACAATAAAACACAAAAGCATCAATTAAGACCTCCCTCCAGATCGACGAAAGTGCAGTCTTGTGTTTTGTTCTATGCACTCTTCAATGAGGTTACACTGTCTGGTTTCTCAAGCTCGTAATTTGCCATGAGCCGTTTTGTATAATTTTGGGCATATCGCAAGAACAAGAGTGATGAAAGTTTGGTCACGTAAGTATTTCACCAACTACTGCAGTGCATATTATTTGATGATTATTTGATGATATTATTTGATGATCCATTAGCTTGATTCTGCCTGGGATATCAGCAGTAATATATGATCCCATAGAAAATTTGTGAGGAACTTTCCGTCAGTAAATTTCTTAGCTTTAACAGTAAAAAACAAGGAATCTTCTTTGAAAAAATGTATTCAAATACACTCGTTCATGCCATTATTGCCAAACATGTATGTTTGTCTAACTGATACGTATTTTAGGTATGAACCTTTGCTAACCTCATACTAAACCTAAGCTCACACCCTTCGGTAGAAAATTGATCAAAGTAGAAAGAGCTAGTTGGACATCTGAGTAAAGGTGTTATACGACGTCTGTGAATCGTATCAAAATTAGGGTGCTACATATAATATGTAACATGTTCATTTGGCCTTTATTATTTTGCTAAAATACCTTCCTTTCTCCATACATTCATTTATGGTACAACCATAGAGTACCTCATGTTTCAGATATTTGGAAACCCTTTACCTTTTATCATGGTTACAATCAAACCCTACCACATGCTTCATTCACGTACAAAGCCACATGAGATATTTGGAGATATTTGCCACCTTTTCTTTAATGCTTGGTTTTCTCTGAGTGTAGTTGATTATTCTTTTTATGCTGCTTGACATCAGTCATACCATCTTGATTATGATCCTCAATCACGGGGAAAATAATTCATGAATAGTTTGCATGTGAGTTTCATTCTTTCTCCGTATACTATCTGCTGGATCTAGAAGTACGGATGCGTTTGCCCTGAAGCAATTATTCTGAAAAGCACACATTGGAATGAAAAAAAATCTAAGGCGGTTCATGTATTTCATAGATTGATCACATGAGAGTATCTGCAAGTCCAGCCCACAGACTTTTAATAGGCATGGAGAGAGAGGAGAGCTGCATGTGTTTATTGTGTTGGAGCACGCGTCGCCGAACTTTTTCAGAATAAATCCAATGATTGTCTACAGAAACACAAACTCTTTTCCGTACATGATGAAAGCGGAGAACAAAAATTCTTCTTCGAAGTACACATCGGGAACAATTCTTGAATTAATGTGAGCTTTCCGCACTCATTTACTCGGGAATTTGGCCGAACCGGTGGTCAAAGGACTCGTAACGTTCAACATGTACATAGACTGCGCTGACAAAGGCCACACGTCCCGCTTCACCGTCGTCCATTTATGTTCACTTCTTTAGCGACAAGTTGCCCCACCAGTTGTAGAACCGCGTACTAGGGAGAGCGCGCATTTTTACAGCAAGGCGCGGCACAAAAGCAGGTACCTGGTAGCCAGCAGGCAGGCAGACAGGCGTAGTCGTGGTCAATAATCAAGGTTGATCGTCTATTATTCGGACGTAGTTTGCAAGGAGAACCCTAGACTGGTTGCGACAGTTCAAGATCGTCCATCGTGCGTGAATCGTTCCGCAAACGTTTAGATCTTTCTCAATGTGTACCCAGCGAAGCAGAGGATCGAGTTATTTTCTGGATCCTAGTCACTCACGGAAGACGGTTGATCGGGCTCTCTTGACTCGTACGACAGAAGCGTTCCGAGGGAGGGAAGTCTTCTTGGGGAATAGGAGAATGGATTGATACGGCACCGGAGGGCATCAATGGTGTGACGCTCGATCCGAATTTGATGTTTGCTCGGTATTATTTTTCTATATGAGTTATTCTTTTGGAGATTTAAGAAATAGGACATTGTGCGCTTCCCCCAAACTCCGGGCCATGAAGGATGTCGCGCTTGATCGGAGGTTGATGTTCATCTCTGTATCATTCCTTCATGATCACAAGCTGTTTGGACCATGAGGCTCAATAGGACACAACTTGTTGCATTTGGACAAAGTTCCAACACATTCTCAATGTCGAGCCTCTACAGAAATCACAACATGGGCTCATAGTCGCAATCACGTTCACGCGGTCGAGTTTCTCTTTCCCTTTTGTTGGGTTTGAAATAAGCGAGAGATAGGGGTCCAACCTTAGGCAATGCTCTTGGTATCGTTTGACATTCTCCGATCTGCATGTGTGAATGGAACATCTGAACTGAACCTCCGCACATCTCGACAATGAGAAGCGGATTTGGTTCTCATCGATGTTCCGGATTATGGAGTCGCTAATCTGAAGGCCGGGCATAGTAAGCGTATTGCATCATTTTACCAGCGGAGAGCACTAAAAGTCAGGGGAGTAAATACTTGTAGCGACCACATGGTGATGCAATTGCGATCGTCATCGACGGTGCATGCAATGAATAGAGGACTGGCTACAAGGAAGCGAGTCCAAGATGTGCGCGCAGGCCAGGATTCAACAGTCGAGAATCATGAACGAACAGTACAAAAAAGGAAGATTCAAACCAGGTTTGAGGCCAGTGCAAAAAGTAAAATCGCTCCGACTAACCCACGGTCAGTATCGGGGGCAGGATGTGGAATCTTGTGCAATGCTTTCCGCGGTGGAGAAGACGAGAAGATTCTGCGCAGCGCAAGTCCGTAGGATCCTCGGAGACTCTGTCGTACAGAAAGATAATAAATCGGCAACGGAGAAAGGGTGCGGAATTGGGATCTCGAAGGAGAGTGGGCGTGCTACGGGACGGGATCCGAGTGACCTCGGACTGAAAAAGGGAAAAGCAGTGGTCCGAGAGCACTCCAAGGCACTGGGAAATCGGTGGGGCCGAGCCTCCAAGGGCACGGGAACGGTGGCCAGGGCTCATAATGACGCGAGGAAATAATCTTTCTGCTTTAGCGATTCTTTCTCTCCTCCGCTGCTCTGCGTCCATGGAGGCCAGTCGCTCCACCTTTTCGAGGGCAGACTCCGTAGCCGGTTCTCGGTAAAGTCTCCCAAAAGATGGGACATTAACTTTCACCCGGCCGGCGCCCGTCGGCAAGAATGACTCGCTTTCGTGCGGAGCTCCCTCGTTACCGCCCGCGGTATGACTGCTGGCTCGGCCTACACTAGAGCCTACTGCGCTGCCTGCAGTCGGTACGACTGGCATGGTTGTTGTAGGACCGCCAGAAAGCGCGAGGGGGCTACCACGTTTTCGCCTTTCTGCCTGGGCAGTCGAGTCGGATCCTGCCACGCGGGACCGAGTGCGAGCCGGGGAATCCCGTCCGTCATTTAGCCGGCTGGATTCCGACCTCGGTGACCGGCCTCGATACTACTGCGACGACTTCTACCGCGGCAGTAAGAACTCCCAGGCTGCAGCATCCAATTGAAGGAGGCGCAGGCGGAGTGAGGCGCGGGTGGGAGCCATTGGACCGTTGAGGAAGGAGGCGGACCGCGGAGCCGATTCGGTAGAGGTGGAGGAGGGAGGTTTACAGCCACCGAGCACACGCAGAAATGGTTTCCTTTTTCTGACACTGGAGGCTCCGCGAGGCACCGAGCCGATTGGAATTGGCAAGCGCTGGATTTTCCAAACTGGCAAGCATATCGCGCACAGCTGGCGAGGTGGCGAGCGTCGCAGCGCCTAGAACAGTGGCGAGAGAAGGTGATCATCGCTCGGGAGGTGGGGTGGCGGGGTCCACGTCCCCTCCAGCGGCCGCCTACGTGTCTTTCCTCTAACCTGGACGATTCAGGGAGCGGTTCAGCGACCCCGGGCGGGCGAGCGGGTGGGCGGGTCGCTTGGTCTTTGATCGACTGGGCTTCGGGGCAAGGCAAAGCTGCACTGCCAGAGAAGGAAGGAAGGGAGGGAGGGAGGGGGGGAAGAAGAGACGAGGGGAGGGGAGGAGAGGAGCGCCGGGGGAAAGGAGCGAGAGCGAGCGAGCGCTGGGGAAAGAGGGAAAGGGGGAAAGAGAGGGGAAAAAGAGGATAGCCGAGGACAGCAGCACCTCGTTTAGAGAGACCTTCTTCTGTCTTCGTCCTCCCGCTCTCCAGCGTGCGCATCTGCTCCGTCCCCTTGCCAGGCGTTGATCTGGACGTCTCTGCTCGGCTCTGCGCTCGCAGATTCCCCCTTTCATCCCCTCGTCGTCGTCGTCGTCGTCGTCGTCGCCTAGAATCTATACAAGACCTGTCGACGGCACCTGCAATAATCACATTCTCTCCTTCGCATCACATCTCCTCTTCACCTCCCGTCTTCCCTTCCCTCACCTTTCTTCACTTCACTTCACTTCACTTCCCTGTCTGCTTCGTTTCAACGCCCTGTGTATTGCCGCACGCGACATCCTTCCGCCCGCCTCAAGCCTCCTCAGGATTCCACGTGCATGCCGAATTTGTCGAGTGACCGTAACATGGGATTCTCAGCATTTCTCACTTGGACTGCTGTCTGGGTGGCGATTCTGCACCAATTGCACCAAGTGACTGCGTTCCCGTTGCATGCCGCAGCTCTGAACGACATCCCGACATACTCTGGTGAATATTTCTTCTTCCGAATTTCCTCTAGTCGTCTTCGTCGTCGTCTCGTCGTCTTATCGCAGAAGTATCGAGCTTCGAGTCGATAGTTGTATCGAGTCTGGACCCTCCTCGAATTCGCTTCGTTCTGTGCTAGAACTCAGTGAATTCTCCTCGAATTGGTATTCCTCATGGATATCACCTGAGTATTTCTTGAGTATTTCGCTGCTTTGGAGTCAAGGAGTACGCATGAGCAGCCGGAATAGTCAAGGGTGTCAATTTCGCTATGAAACTGTAACTGCCAGGTCTCTGGGTCAACTTCGCCAGAGAAAAGACACCAGCTGAAAGCATTCTTTCAGGCACTATCCATGGCAACACGCTCTGTCAGCTCTTTCGGTTCTCGAGCGTCAATTTTGAGGGTTGTCTGCCAAAGTACTTCTCTGAGGACAGACCTGCTTGCTTGTCTTGCACTCAATTTGGAGACATGGCATCCTACAAGAGAGTGTTCACTGTGCTCGGTCGTGCGCCACTGACACCGGGCTGGCCAATTGAGAAGTATTACCACCTCCTTTTGGTCTTGACAGCAGTTTTCCAGGCCCGTCAATTCCGCAGGCTTTGAGGGGATTCTTATTCTGTGGGAATGTTAACCGCTGTACACTCTTATGGACACAGTCATGTTCACACATCAAGTCAGTGCGCCTCCTCTTGCTCTCAAGTAGGAAGGGCCTTGCCAGGTCCCGGATTTTGCATAGGTAATATATCAGTTTCCTCGATGAAGCTGCTCTTTCTCTAGCGCCCATGACATTCAGATGGATACCTTCCCAGCACTACCAAGATAGGTTAACAAGACGTCCAGTTTAAGACGTCCGCCCAGATTGAGGGACTTCACTTGTTCTTACCCGTCACTCCATCTTGGCGAACTCCGGAATCCCCCTTCTATCATCGCTTGAATGTAAAAATGAAACATATACACAAAAGATTACCCATACAGATTCAGGTATACCTTGTATTTGCTTTGCTTCTCAATCTGCTTCACAACGCTGAAATTCTATATCTATTGTGCTTACGATGTGCAGACAGCACCGATAGAGAATGGCGCATGCAAGTGGATGCTCATGTGAAAGAACATCTTGCTACCATTCTTCGAGATGAGGCCGTTAACAGGCTAGACAAGTTAGGAAAGGTGATTCTTTGGCTTACTGCTGAGCTCGTAGTTATTTAAGGAGGAAACAACCCTTGAGGGTGCTATTACGATTATATGAATAAATTGTTTTCCCGTTCTTTTTTCTCACGTCAGCACGTAGGCACTGCTTCTATTCTAGATCGAGTTGTCCTGATGAAGAGCAAAGTCCACTTTTTGGCACTGAATTTCCTTGTTGTCTCTCAGGTGAGTGACTCGCCAGAATTTTTACAAAGGACGTTCATGAGCCCGGCAGCTCTACGGGCCGGACAACTCATTCGAACGTGGATGTCAGACGCCGGATTGTTTACGTGAGTAGACAGAGAATTCCTTCTTCTTTTTGACTCGTGACTCAGAAGTACTAGGTCTGAGTCACCTGTATATACTGTCGCAGCACTTGTGGGAAGCTGTGTGATACATTTTTCCAAACAATTTCGTGCACTGAGGATTCTTCAATTCTCGATCACGTTCGTCAGACGTGATCGAGAATCGCAGGATTGTGTATTTTGCTAGTAAATACTGGATGCCATCCTGATTTGTTTGCAATATGCTTCAGCCATAGTCTTACGTTAGTTGGAATTGCAGATGGATCGATGACATGGGAAATGTGCATGGGCGCTTCGATGGAATGAATTCATCTGCCCCAGCTCTTCTCATCGGTTCCCACATGGTGCGTAAATCTATCATTTCGAGAGCTAATATCTTGGGAGTCCTGTTGGGCCTATGAGAGGGACTCCTCTTTTTGGTTCTAGTCAACGCAATATCATGAAATTCGAAGCTCACATTGGCTGCATACTAGGCGTGTGATAGGGATTGATGGGATTATCAAGGGGTGCCAAATGTTACCGAGAGAGACGTCCTGACTAATTCTGTTGTGCGTTCGTACAGGACACTGTGATTGATGCAGGGCGTTATGACGGAGCATTAGGTGTAGTTTCTGCTATTGCTGCCGTTAAAGCTCTACAAAAGAGTGGCAGATTGGTGGATTATCCCCGACCTATTGAGGTAACCACATGCATCTATTCTGTCCTGGTGTTCGTTGTGAACACATCAGAAAAGTATTTCGTGCGTACAGCCGCGAACAAGAAGTTGAGGTTTCAGAAATTTTGTTTCATTTGGATGCAGATCATCGCTTTCAGTGACGAGGAAGGGGTGCGATTTCAGTCTACCTTCTTAGGAAGTGGTGCAATCGCTGGAACTTTATCACCTAATTTGCTGCAAGTGAAAGACAAGAGGTACGAACAAAGCGACAAAACTGATTACTTTAATCGAAAAAAGCAGTATGCCGCCGCTGCCAATTGTGATCAGTTTAATTCTAACTAGGTGATGTGTACCCCTGTGGTCTGTAATAGGAAGTTTTGAGGTCCTGCCTGGGACATGTAGCGCGTCACTATGATCTTCCACTGACTGTCTCGATTCTTGTGCCAGGGGTGTGACCGTATCTGCTGCTCTGCAGAAGCTTTCGTTTCCCGGAACGAAGGAGAGTTTATTCAACTTAAAGTACGAACCAGAATCTGTTTGGGGCTATGTTGAGGTAAGAACTTGATGTCACAGATTCTAAAGTCTAGAGTGTCGTACTATTTCAGGTCAGATTCTTTGGTACAGTTACTACAGTAATTGTTGTGCTTGACTTGGGTTAAAGATCGTGGTTAGAAGGAGAGGTAAGACTTATATTTTCTACCCGGCGGCTATTGGGCTAAAGTCTCAGTTCCTCCAAATTGACACGAGTTTCGGTGCAGGTCCACATCGAACAGGGTCCCGTCTTGGAGAGCAAAGGCCTGCCTCTAGGAGTTGTGGACGCAATCGCAGGACAAACACGTCTAAGAGTAAGTGCCCTACTTTCTTTGGAAGACGAAGATCTCTTATTGAGTTCACGAATTTGGGAAACTTTTTGGAATTCCAGTTGATAGGCCCGCGAGTAGGCGTGACTGTATGGGTCGTTGACCTGCCTATTCCCAAAGTAAAACGTATGGTATTCATTCACAGAGGATCTGAAGAATCGCTGCTTATTATAGAAGCCTTGCTGGCAGCAATGTGCATCGTTCTAATGGTTTCGAAAAGCAATCATTGTCGATCGCTGAAGCATTGCGTCTAGCTTTTAGAAGACTGTCGTTAGCGCAATTGACGACGCACATCTGATAGATTGTAATCAGACTTTCTAGATGAAGTTTAACCCATTTATGTACATGCGTTGTACGCCTTACGACTTATTGGACATGAGGTCTGTTGTGTTCCTAATTTCACCTTGACAATTGAAGTTACTTACGAGCTTCACGGGATAATGCAGGTGAGTATGAAAGGATCGGCGGGTCATGCCGGTACGGTTCCCATGGCAATGCGCAAAGACCCTATGCCTGCAGCGGCACAAGCCATTGTGGCCATAGAGGAACTCTGCATCCGACCTCAGCAAGGTGGTAGCCCAGCAACAGTTTCTCGACCTACAGCTAATAAAGGAGGTGCTCTCGTGTGCACAGTTGGCGAGATCGCATCCTGGCCTGGCGCTAGCAATGTGATTCCCGGAGAGGTGGGTATCCTGCTTCTAACAAATCCTTCATTGAAAATTAACTCTGGGGTATTTTGGAAGGAGTATTTGTGCAACTTGCGAACATGGAGTAGTTCCTTTTTCTAGTGAAATTTCACCAGTCTGAATGCAGTTGTCTTATGGGTTTTCAATCTATAAACAGTACAAGTTTTTTTTACAACAATTACCTTACAATCGATTACATTCGTCATACAGGTTACATTCTCTGTAGATGTGCGAGCTAAAGATGATAATGTTCGCGAACTTGCTGTTCTAAACATGGAGCTTTCGATTCATGAAATTTGCCGAAACCGTGCGATTGCATGTACTATCGAGCGCAAGGTAACGCTGCCAACTAGCAAGAAAATTTAAATTACTTTTTCAAACATGCTGTAAACATGCCCTTCGGAATGATGGATGTTGTTTACAGGTTGGTGCCCAAGAGTTGTTTCTCTTTTCATACAAATAACGCTGGGGCATCACCCTAGACACACCGTGGGGCAGCCCCTTGTTTGTGATAAGTTCCCGTTTGTTGTCAAGCATGGGGATAGATACCAGTAAGAGCTATTGTGGTTCCAGGTTGAAATTTGTTTCATGAAGTCCAGATATGACGTATTCAAATATTAGCAATGCATCTTGTGACAATATCCTAAACTATGTGTTTGCGAAACTTCCTGCAGAACGAAGCAAAGACTGTGGAATGTGATAAAGAGCTTATTGATAGGTTGAGTGTATCAGCAACTGCCGCCACCAATGAACTCTTCTCTCTAACAGGAGTTCAAACTACCAATGAGGAACCTGTACCTACACTCTCAAGTGGTGCAGGACACGATGCGCTGGCAATGGCACAGCTAACGAAGGTAATTATAAATACATCGAGTATTTTAAAAATAGTTTTATGTGGTAATTGTAATTAATGCATACGTTCGAATGTCGATTGATTCAAGGTTCTCTTTTAGAACCTGTTTGCAAAAGTCTGTTCGTTGGCGTGTGAAGTGTATCATGTACGTATTGTTCGTACGCTGTTTGAATTCCTCACCAGTCCATGTTCGTACCGAAGGTCAATCGATGAAAGAGTACTGATCCACTGTCGTAACGAATTTCAGGTGGGAATTATGTTTGTACGATGCACTGGAGGAATAAGTCATTCCCCGGAAGAACATGTGTTGGATGATGACATTTGGGCTGCAGGTCTGGCTCTACATTCTTTCCTTGAATCAGACTTGCCTGCAAGCTTTAGTGCCTAGGTCCTCTAAGACCTGTGATAGCAAATTGTAGGCAGTCTCTCAAATTTTTGTCAGTCTTCTTGCTGACCTGTACATAGCAATTGTATAGACTTTAGACATGACACTTCGCAAATTAGGGACCTTAACCAATGCAAACTGAAGTTTGCTGGCCAGAGTGGATAACTTAGTGATGCATGCTAACCCCACATACATGAATCGATTATCCATCAGAGCAAACTAAAGTTTGCCAAACAGGTTCAACAATTCAATGGTCACAGCTACCTTCATCTCGCATACATAGATCCTTCTAAGCAAACTGAAGTTTGCTGAAGAGGATTGTTATTGTATGTGCAAGTTCAACTTCATGAAACAGAAAGTATATATCCACCAACGCAAATTCAAGGTTACTGTTCAGGATTACTATTTTGTACCGCAAGCTATTTCAAACCAGTGGATTGTCAGGTCAATCGGGAACTTACACGTTCTTAACAGTATGACAGTACATAGATCTGCAACCTGTACGCAAATCAAATTTGTATATATACAAGTGTGACAGAGTATGGTACCAATTTGTGGTACTCTCTTGAAGAATCGATAAAGTTTACTGAAGTCTTGTCAACTCAGTGTTTCTCAATCGGGAAGAATTCATTGGTGCGTTGACAGTACACATCACGTGTCTATGTCATGTTCATACAGGAATTTGCTCTTTAGATGTTTTGATGTACACACCAGACTTTTTTTCTCGATTTGTCCACGTTTTGCTCTCATTGCAAATCTTTAGACCAAATCTCGACCAGCTTAGTTTCCATTCCATAACCTTGTCATCTTCATGATGTCTCAGAGATACTACACAGACTGAATCAAATTATTTGCTCTCGTTGTATTACATGTGGATCTAGTGCTGCCTGAAAAAGATAAATAAAAAGTTGAATAGACAATCGAATGTAATTTTGGTGGAACATGCTGAAATTGCTGGGAGTATCTACCAATTCTTTTAAGATTGATTAAAGATACCATCTAAGCAAAGTTTGCTGTAATCGCCTCCTCTGCACAAGTCATATAATGAACCACAGTAAGCTGCAGCAGATGATAAGATGTTGTGGAAGATGGGGAATATCGCCTGTCTCCCATAACGTATACATAGTCGGGGAGGCTGCCACTAAGAATAGTATGGTAATATACTTTGCCCTCCACCATTTACATGATCTGAATCGGGTCAGGCGAAAATTTCTTGTTACCTTATTCATCCATGCACATCAAAGACACCGTAGTGTGTCTTCGGCATTCACACCCTACGTTCATATCCGAGATATCCAAGGTTTCGTCAACTCACATCTAGACCACATCTTTATATGATTCATTTTCATCGTGCCTCGGTATTCCACCATTACCCTTGCTTTTGTGCCAGAATATTTTAAGCCTATTTCTAGTCTTTGAAGAGTTATAAGATCATCCTCTCTCATCTTGGAAAATCTGCTAGATTTTGATGAGACGATTATCTGGTTCAAATAAATTTGAAATTGGCTTGACTTGTGGAGGAAGCGACTACTTCAACTCATGTTTCTCTAGTAGAATTTTCCCATGACTTTCTTGAGACTTCAGCTAATTTGATGTAAACCTTTTGTTGAAAACTAATTTGAAATGCCATTCCCCTTTCGCTAATTTTTTTCCAATCGACTTGTTGAAAACTTTAGCTTGATATGAGCGAATGCCTGCATAACGATGCATTCAATAAAATCTATTGAATCTAGCATCATTACCATTGGGAATGATTTAGTTTCACCCAGAAAATCATCATGCAGCGGGAAGTGCATGGAATCGTGATTGCACGCATTTCCCTCATTCCCAGACTGTTCTATTACTACTACTTGGTTTTCACCCATACGTGGTTGCAAGGCAAATTTTTAATGAGACATCAATCAATTTGATGGTTGTTGTTCACATAAGGAATAAGTTACCATGATACAATCGGAGATGTTGCGCTTCATGTTTATGTACCTTCATTTTCGACGTACTTTTAAATTTCGAGATCGTTATTCCAAGGCCTTCTGCTCAGAGACATCGGGTGGATATTACTGTGATCTACGAGGGAAGTTTGGCAGTTTATGATGTATGATTGGAGGTCAAGTTTTTTTCTTTAGTGCCTCATTTTGCCAATCACCCTTTTTTTGGGGCAGGAGGGCTGGCTGAACACTATACAAAGTACTCTGCAACAATACTCTCCCATCCTTCGAACAAGATCTTATTCTTGACGTAAGATAATGAGACAAGTAAGTCCCTGCGTATTCACGGGATGATCTCATAGCTTTCGCCCTTGAGATCTTTGGTCATTTAAATCGTATGGTAGATGAGATGATGATTTATTATCATCAGTCAGTATCATTAAAGTTTCATTATTCCCATTCCCTAGCTGTTATCGACATGACTTTCCAACCTATGTCCTTACCACCCATCGGATATAACAGTAGATCTTAAAAAGAAATGACATACATTAGCATATTAGTGACCACCTCTACTCCATACTAACTCTTCAGATTATGCCACTTGATTGTTGACTCTTTCATTCATCTTCAGATTCTTGAAGCATTCAATATTATAAACTCTTGCGAGCACAAGTGATCTGTTTGTGTACCATCTAGTATTCTTATGGACTCTATTAGTTCTGCCCTTTTTTTACCAACAATTCTTATCACTAACGCCACTGGACCACACATTCGATGAACTGCAAATTCTCGATAAGGAGGAATGTGTGAAGTTCTCTAGACACAAGTGGCCCTCGCACCGTATGTTGGGAGAATAGTAAGTATAGATTCTGCATCAGAGGCAAGAGCATGCATTAATAGGAGATTCGTATGACAAGTCTAAGAGTCCTGTCAAAGTGAGAGTCAGATTCCTGCCTAGGGTGCGTACCAGGCACGCGCATCTGCTCAGTCTGGCTGGCTGGCTGGCCTTACAAACTGGTGCTCAGTCGAAAATGTGGGCACAACAAAGAAAGATTGCAACTGGTGATCGATCTGCAATCGAAGAAACGGACATAAATGGAGACTCTTTGGACTTCAGTGTCTCATGCAATTGTCAAACACGTTCTTAGTCTTCCCTCCACGTGCCATGTAAATTTAGCTTATTCCATTTCCCTCGTTAACCCCTTCTTCCCCTTCTTCATCCCTACGAAAAACTTGCTCACCAGCGCAGGGAATAATCACAAACTCTTTGATATTCAAAAGTTAGAATCTTACAACCCAGGCTTGACAGTGATTGAACCAGCTCTCTTCCATTTTAGCTCGTGGACCAGCAAGGTGGTGAGGAGTTCTTAGACAAATTCAACCTGTTTATCCTGTCCAAAGAAAGAACGGATCCTTTCCTTGACCCAATTTTAGCTGGGGCCTGAATGGTGCAGCTGAAGAATGATCGAAGTTGTAAATCTTCCCACGAATATCCACAAGTTGACGACATACAGCTGTTTCTCACGCGTTCTCACTTGCGAGCCCATCCAGGATCAGCACTACATCATGTGCTCGGCTCAGATGCACTCCGGTGGAATCTGTGATGGCAGGAATTGGCCTTCTGGAGAATGTTCGATGATGAGACTGCTATCCTGTACCTCCCCACCCCAAGATGACACGAGGTATACACTCTAGCACGTTTGCTTTCCATAAGCGTGCTGTGAGCATTGCAATGACTTCATAATTGATGATGATGATGATGAAGATTACAATCCCCTCGGAGGAATTTCGCATACCCATTTACGATCTCGTCAATTCTGCCACGCGCGTGTGTCAGAATGACTGACTCCCCTGTCATTGCCATCTATGCCGATCGGACGTTCTCATGGTACGACTGAGAGTTAGATCGAAACACTTGGAGAAGGTCCCCCATACATTTGGTATTATTGTGCTTTGTTACTTTCTATTTCTCGTCGATAAAGACGAATCTGGCCTCGTATTATGGTATACGATCAGCACATACATACACAGAGTATACGATCCGGATAAGGATAAGACATGCAGTATAGTTCCAAGACTGCGCTCTGGTAACAGGATTTTGCTGGATGCCCCACTTTTGCTAGTCATACCTTTAATTCTGAGTTTATTTCATCATCTAGAGGCGGTACTTATCGAGTCATTATCTTGTTGATTGATAAGATTGATTTCATTTCAAGAATGATTTTGATATGATTGCTTTCAAGCTTTTGTCCCACAGCTTTCAAGTGAGGATTGTAAATTTGCCAGTATACTATATTTTTACTGGATCTTCGCTTTATGTTTTGCCCAATTATAAAGCACAGTAGAATAGAAAGAATAATCCAATTATCCTGTCTGTCAAGGTTTAAACAAAAGGATTCACGTCGGACTGGAAATATGTTCTCATGTACGTAATGTATATAGTTTATCTGCGTCACATTGTTTTTACATGCTACACAATCCTTCATTTATACAATACCATTATCTATACCACGGAGCAACATACAAATGTTGACCAAAGTTATGTACACAATTTGTTCCACAAGTATATATCTTATGTAGTCTGGTATAGTTAACTATCGTAATATAGATTGAATATATATATATATATATATATACACTCTCTCTCTTATAATTCATCTTATCCTACACAATGTTGACGTTTCTAAAAATATCAAATCTGATCATATACCATTGTGAAGGATGAACTAGAAGAATTGTATACACTTCCAATCGAAAGCACAAGGTGATTGTCCAAAATATTGAAGTTTTTATTTGATTTCCACGTAATGCAGGATAAATTTTTATTTCCTACAGTACCAAACTAGATCCAACTCATCAAACCTTATCGTAAAATCGTCTCTCTGATCCTATTTATTGTGCCTTAGAATAATAACATGATCAGCAAACTTAAATGAAATGATAAAAGATAATTGTAGTTGAAACTGAGAATTATTTCTTATTTGCATCTATGTAAACTGTTTTCATGGCATTGCAGCTAGATCAGAGATGATGATCATTGACATCCAATGTCTTTGAAAATTATTAACTGTAAAAAAATAATAATTTCAAGGAGGAATACAGACAAATATTGGAATTTATAACAATGTATCAAATGGCTTCTGTTGTATAATCAACTTTCTTTCACGTTATTGCAGCAAGACAAGAGATGATGATAATTTGTAAGTGCTATTGATTTAAAATTTCAATCATTTTCTCTAACAAATGTGCTCAAATGCTAAAACTTACTGTCAGAAATAACTCTTTGCTGTATCTAAAATTTTAATTCTAAAAATTCAGATAAAATTTCCTATTTGATATTTTGATTTTCAAAATACTATAAGGTGCAAGTAAATTATTTGATATATTTGACTTTTTAATTTTATTTTAGAGTGTTGTCCAAATCAATATTCTCAATTTAAGATAATCACAACAAAGTTTACACAGGAAATATATTAATCATCTCAGTAGAGCTATGTCCATATAAAAAACGGAGCACTTTATTCAAAACGCTAATTTCTGTCACAATAGAACGAAATTTAATCAAATATTTGAGTCAATCTTAATCAAACTAATCAGAGCAAATCAATACTTGAGTTAACTTCTGATATACGGTACTTAATCTAAAAAAT